ACTGCCTTGCTCTCAGTTGTTGAAGCCCTAAGACTGGCAAGAGCGGATTCTAAATCTTCAATACTTATCTTGCTGGATCTGTCCGCTGCTTTTGACACTGTTAACCACCAGATCCTCCTGTCAACCCTATTGGCAAAGGGCATCTCAGGAACCACACTCCAGTGGTTTGAGTCTTACCTATCAGATAGGTCCGTCAAAGTATCTTGAAGAGGTGAGTTGTCCAAGTCGCAACATCTAACTACTGGGGTGCCTTAGGGCTCTTGGACCACTTCTCTTCTCTGTCTACATGGCATCATTAGGTTCTGTCATTCAGAAACATGGCTTTTCATATTACTGCTAAAAACACATCTCTTCCATCTTTATTTGACCCTCTAACTCAAGCACTATCTATTCTAATTCTATTCTTAAAAAAAAAACACTTGTCGCTTTTAGACTTGCACTCTATTCATTTGCTGCTTGTTTTCTTTCAAAAAACAACAACTTGTAAGTCGCTTTGGATAAAAGCGTCTGCTAAATGACTAAATGTAAATGTAACATGCTAAACGACAGCCCTAGTCATAATTTACTCACCCTCATGTTGTTACAAATCTTTAACTTACTTTCTTCGGCAGAACCGAAAAGAAGTTACTCTCATTCTTAAAAATATCTTTATTTGTGTGTGTGTTCCAAAGAAGAAAGTCATAAAGGTTTGGAATGACCTGAGGGTGAGTAAATGATGACTGAATTTTCCAAATGATAATTCACCAAAAAAATTCTGTCACACTTGCATTATAATAATAATAATAAAAATAATATTTACAATATTTAAAAATTTACATATTTTTTCAGTACTATGAGTTCATTGGCCACTAGTTTAATTTAAGGATTCAAGATTTAATCCTTAAATACCAAATAAATTACCAGCCACTGTTTTCAGTAATGTTTTTTTTTATTTATTGGTTGATCTTTAACAAGACTATGGCCCTGTTTACTGGCCTGTTAAATGGCTTTTTAAAATGAAAAAGATCCTCGTCTACACTTGCGTTTTCACTGCGTTTCAGAAACGTTATCCGTCCACACTACACAACCGAAAACGCATGTCACATGACCATTCATGCAGGTACAACAATAAGCATGATGTTATTGTTTACACGGTCATCAAGGATACGCAGAGCGAATGTGGGCAGCCCCGCCATTGTTTTCAAAATCTCTTTTTTGGTCCGTTTAAACTGTAAGGCAACCCCAGAGTTTACAAACTAAAACAGGGTCTGCAG